TTAACTTTTAAAAATATATTTTTAATAATTTTTATATATGTAAACATGGCCATATGTATCTAGTATGACACACTGAAAGTGCTTCTACTCTCACAATTTTTTGAATTTTTACACGTTTGCACTCCCGCTCCCTCTTACACTCCCGTAGTATGTGATCTAGGTCAAAACCCTAGTCTTGCAAAATAAATGTTTTAATGTGAAAAATACATGGACTCTTGATTTTCAAATCCCTATTCTTGATTAAATTATGTTTCAATCAAATACTTGTTTTGTTTCCAACAAATTGTCATTTTTGGACTAAACCCTAGAACTTTGATATCGCAATTATGAAAATTTTCTTGATATGATCTCTTGCATACTTTAACTCCATTTTTATTATTGTATACTAAAAATTATGAAATTGTGATACATGGATTTGTGAAACTTGAGGTTGGTTGAATGTAAATTTGGTAAAATTGTGGTTTTTATCTCTTGTATGGTTTGGTTGTGATGGACTTGAATTGTCTTCGAAATGTGTCATAGAGTGTTAAAGATTAATCTATCTCAGTGGGAGTGAGATGGTTGCTTAACACTTGTAGTGATTTATTTCCTTGAGAGGTCAACCACTATTGTGCACGTAGGTTCAACACTCAGATATGGTATATATTTCCAGAGAAAGATTCGTAAATGTCGTGTGAGACGGTATACGCCCTTTCTAAAATGGTTTGTGATGTAGCCCTGCAATGAATGAATTAGGTTGTTGGTGTTTGTGGTGGGTGAACGAGATAGGATTGATGTGCAAATTCTTGAGAAGCAACTAACATGCACGAGATACATGAGAAATTGAGATGTTATTGAATTATTTGTTGATTGCTCTGGTCTTTAACTGTTTATTTCTATCATTGAATTATTGTCTTCCGTATACTTGACATCATTACAACGGTCACTATTTTACTTTTAAAAAGGTATATATGTTATTTTCAAAAAAAGACTTACCTTCTTTAAATTGTTTTAAAACCTTATCTGAATTTGAAAGGGTTTTTCTACAGGCTTTTACTTACTCCTACAGTATCTTCATTTACAAATTTTGGCATAGGGGAGAATGTTGAGATAAATGAGTAAGTTGACTATGAAGTCGTGGAGAATCAGGATATAGACCCCATCCTAGAGGAGTAGAGTTGTTTTATTAATGGTTTAGAGTTTGAGAGATTTTTATGAAATAATGTTTATAATTTATTTTATTATTCATCTAATAGTGATAGTTTGGTTTTAAATTATAAGTTTGGAAAAATTACAATATTTTATTATCTTAATATCTAGTAATTATTTAATGGATGGATTGTTTAAATTTTGAATGATTATTTTTAGTTGTTCTCGTGATTGAATAGTTTATAGATAGCAATACCTTCCATGGTGAATTTTGGGGTGTTACAGGTTGGCCTCCTTGGGAGTTAGGTCTCACCTGTTCATCCAATCAGCTACTTTCCTCTGTTCTCTCTTTTCTAGGTTATGGTCAGTGGGTGATACCACCCACTATATAAGGGAATTTTGGGTGTTAAAGGCAATGTCAATTATCTCCTTCCACTTCAGGAGGTACAACCATCCTGGGCCCACTTGCAATCCTAATTTCAAACCTTTCTGTCTGCTTTTGCCTCTTTTCTTTTAGGTGTTCTTCTCTTCTTATCTATTGTCATACACTTTCTCTAGCATTGGAAGTTCCGGTCACATGGTCCATCGTTTGAAGCCATTTTTTATAGGCTTTTCCATGGTAAGTTGTATTCCTTGGTGCATTCTTTTCTTCTAGAAAATGGTGTGGACAATTGTCGTGGGTGTATCTTCCTAGCAATTTAAAAATTCATGAATCAACACCATTGAAAATTGTATGAGTACCATTGTAGAGTTGGATGTCTCCTTTTCCTTTGGTACTGACTAAACGTCATATGTTTGCGAAATCAGCCGCAATGTCATCTAAAGAAATGGCTTCTAACTTAGCCAATTCCTTGGCACATCTGAAGCACATAACCAACAACTCCTCCTCTTCTCTGTGACTAAGCCTAATTGTGATTGGTTGTTTCATATTTGGGAATATTCTTCCCTTTTCCTTCTCTTTTTTTTCACTCATGAATGAACTTGCAATCCTCCTAGATTCATGCATATCAACACCCATTATTTCTTTTTCTTGAGTTGCATATTTGAGCGTCCCTTTTTGTATAAAATCCTACACACAACGATGTATTCTTTTGGAATGGGTGATTTGATGGCATCTTTTCAAAACATCATACACAATTGAAAATTTCTCTATTGTTTCTGCACCATCAATTTCCATGTCCCCATCTAGATCCTAGTAATATGTGTCCAACACACTATTTTCCTATGTTACTCTTCTTTAAACAACATTTCATACCTAGTGGCCCTGACTGAGAGTTCAAATAAATTTCCAAACTTCATGCCTTCAAATTTTTTTTCTTAATTCAAAATCGAAGTCATTTTGGGCCAATTTTACAAGTTCTATTGAATTTGTTAATGTACTATTCTGCAAATTCATTAGGCTTCTTCTTAATTTGGATAAGTCTTCCATCGACACTTCTGGTTCATTTCAGAAGATCTGAGCATGGAATTGCTCTCCATCTCTTTCCATGTCTGGATTGAACTGGCTGGCAAGTTGATGAACCATGAAAATGCAATTTTGATCAAGGGTTGTCGGAATAACTTTATTTTTAAATTCCTGTTGTTTCCAACTTCCCCACATTGAAAAGTAAACCTACCCATATGCTCTATAGTAGATTGATTTTTTTTCTCCAGAGAACAAATTGAATTCAAGGATTTTATAACCTCTAGGAAACTCCTCAAAATCTACCCATGGAAGCATAATGTTCTAAAAATTGGTCTCTCTATCCTTCGAAGGCCAAGACCATATAGATCTTGAATCATTTCTATTAACTAGATTCTATTAACAGTCACGTTGTTATGAATTTCTATATTTTTGAATGGTTCCAAGGGTCCCCCCCTCCCCCAAAAAAGTCTGGGGTTCATCTCCTCTACTGGATCTATACGAGGCATGGGGTGCCTATCACGACTTCTCCTAAGATGATCCCGAGTCATCCTTGACCCAATTCTACCCCGGGGGATTCCTAAGGTGATTAAAAAAATAGGGAAACCCTACACCTTCTCCTTCGAACATCATGTTAAAGTGGTTTTGATGTTGAAAACAAAGACCCATTTTGGGTGTCATAATTGGTGGCCCCTTATTTTCTACCAGAAATACCATTGGATTGGTATTTCCTTCCTCTAGTGTTGGATTTCAAATAACATTAGAGGATCTTTGAATCAGATTTCTTGACATATTTGTTTGGCCACCCATCAATTCATGCATGACATTCATAAAATCTTATCTAATACTTGAGTAAGGGTCATGCAATACATATCTCTGATTTTGCACAAATCTTGCATCAGTGCACTGTTTTGGCCACTAATTTGGTCGTTTCCTTGCACTATAGGCTCAACTGAATTGGAACTTGAATTTCCTTCAACATGGCTACCATTGTCAAGCATAACATCCATATTTCATTTGCGTTCTGTTCCAATCATTCCTTCATCTTACTTTCTTGTTCGTAGTATTTTTCATCCAAGTTAATAATATTGTCCCACCAAACATGCCAAAAATTGTTAGTCTCCACAAAAAATTTCTCATGCAATTGAAAAGTTCAATCCTTACATAGAGTCATCTCAGACGACTACTGGACGTTGGGATCAATTGTCTTGTTTCAAGACTTCCTTAGATGATCACAATCGACAGATTCAAAACAAGCAGAATGACAACTAAGTAACTAATGAAACAGCCTCTGAAACTAATTCTACTTCGAAAACTAACCTAAAACTACTCTTAATAATGCCCAAGCCATGGGTTTTTAATGGATTTAATCGTCTCTTCCCTGCAATTAATTCCACTTTTATAGGCATATCTCCATCAACGGTTACACTGGCTTCTTCAGCCAATTCTACCTAATTTCTCTTCTGTTTTAACTGTTACTTTTCAAATCCTGAAGCTCATGAAGTATTGATAATTGTTGCCTTCTCAAATTTCAGGTTAACTGCTTTGTCCCCTCCATCACATAGGTTATAACTGTTCTTGAATTTAAAAAGGATACATCGACCGGAAGTACATCCATTTTTTATTAAATAAATGTCACGTAACAATTTTTCTCGACTAACTTGTTCATTGAATAGGTGTCATTCATCGCCTATTCACCAAAAATACAGAATTTGGTCCAAACAAATCCATAACCTAGAGGACTAATTATAATACTTTGGGATCGATTATTATTTTTTGTGAGGTGTCATTTAATCACATTTAATTGTAACTCACCTTTTGTGAGTCACAGCTTGACCCCCGTTAAGTTATAACTAGCCCAATTTACTTGTAAATTTCAGCAAGTTAAGAGAGAGAACTTCTGCAGCCCCGAATCTGTTATCGCGGACAACCCAATGATGTTCAAATAACATTTTCCATTGGTCATAAGATAGCTTTTACTCGATGTTAAAGGGAAAACGTTTTTGTTTTGAAAACCGATCGCTGAGCAATTCTTTCACCAGCTTTAACATAAAAATAATATGAAAAATTACACTTAATCCTCTTGAACTACGCCCCTCATTTTAAATTGTCTAAACTATCTCCTTTCTCACATTGCGCGTTAGACTATTGTGCTCCTCAATCGTTGACTTTTGTCTAATTCTTTTACGGCAAAGAAAGGCATAAAAACATTCCAGAATGTTCGGAGATGTGGTACATTCCTCTTCAATCGGAAGGAATTCCGTTCTTTTCCCTAATATGCCGTGAAAAATTGGACATAAGTTAATGAATGGACTAATGTAAAACTCAAACTAATAGTTTAAAATACAATATGAGAAAACGGATATTTGAGAGGTAATGTAAAACGAGGGCATAGCTCATGGAGTCCAAGTGTAATCTTCTCAAAGTAATAACGACAAACGAAATTATAGTGAGTATAGAGGGCACATACTCCTTCAACTCGGTCGCTTTTTCCAATAGAAATATCTGGTCATTGTCCCCCCATACAATCAAGACCTCCTACAACAATAACATTTGAAATTAGAGAGCACAACACCCAACACCATATACAGCAAGGAGTGTTCAAGCATCAAGATCGTTACCTGCTTAAGAGGAGAGAGATTAACTGTGTCATCGCGGCCAAGGGTCAGTCCTTTCAAGAGTTCCAACTTCTCCCGCCTGTTCTCAGTATATAATTTCTGCATCCATTAAGCCGTTATCAGCTTTTTGTCACCACCAATCCTGGAGGGTTGTTCTAATATGCTTGGAGCATCTGAAATCTGAATAAACACTGCTTCTATCCCACTAAAAGGGTAGTATAGTAGTCTATACAAGTGAAGCAAAATTGGTATGCCAAAATTTATAACTGTCAAATGGTGAGGGGCAACTTTTTTTTAAGATTATGTTACGTTACGACTTAAAACATAATTTTGTCCGATTGAGTCTTAATTTCACCCCAATTTTGTAGTAACTTCCAAAATAACTGCAAAAATAAAAAAATCATGGGTACTATAGTCTTACCCTTAAATTGACACCAATCTAATCCATTATTCAAAATACTATCTTCCACTTACAAATGTGACTAAATATTGAGTCAAGGCCGACCCTATCACAAGGCCAATAAAGCTTTAGGCTTTAGGCCCCATATTTTAAGAAGGTCTTAAATTTTTTAAATGCATAATTAGTCTAAATCAAATTTAAACTCAATCAAAAATAAACTTGAGTAATTTGGGCTCATAAACCCAACCCATAATATTAAAATAAATATTTTAGAAAAAAAAAAAAAGAGAAAAAACTAATGGTTAAAAAACAATTTTAACTAATCAACTAAAGCACACCGTGCATTTGTAATCATTCTCTCTCTCTAGTAAATTACAGCCCTCCCTCTCTAATAAATACAAATTCTTTTTTTTTTTTTGGTGTTGCAAATTTTTTTTATTTCTATTACAAAAAATAAACTAAAATATTTTTTTTATTAAACTATACAAATTAAAATCAGTAGATTATGATTGTTTAAAATTAAAATCAGTCGATTATCACAATAAAGATTAGAGTACTTTTAATCTAAAAAAATAATTTTTAAATAAAAATTTATTAATATTAATATTAAAAATAAAAAATCTCATTTGTATTGGTCGCTTGAGGTTTCAAGTAGTCCTGGCCGCCCCTGTATAAAATGCACTCACTTGAACAAAAAGATACAAACACACGAAAGAGACTATGTAACTGGCATTTAGATGGTTTAGGTGTGGTCGAGTAGCATAAAATAAAGAGTTAATTAAGCATATACAATTTTTCTCTCCTATTACGGAACGCCACGGTTTGTATTGTGTTTGGTGTATATGTCCCGTAAGTCATACATAAATTATTTATTAAATGAATATGATGAGTTAATTCTATTACAACTTGAATCCGTACCAGGTAAATGCGTGTTAACTCTGTGTCGGCTTATGTTAATATTATTATTAGTGTAATATTTTATATCGTATGATGCCAGAGCTGTTACTGTCTCCCTGAATCTCATCCACCAAGTAAACCTACCAAGCTTGACTGTCTGCAAATTTCTGGGCGAATTCATACCAACTTTTGGACTCATCTTTATGGTCTGTTTGGTATGCGTGATGGAAAATAGGAGTCATAAAAATTAGAATGAATAAAGTTTTCCTTCACCAAGGAAAGAAATACATTTTTTTGTCCTTTTTGTTTGGTACGATAGATGAAAAATTAGAAGAATTAATTTTCTTTTGTTTGGTATCAAAATACAGTAATGCTATGCTGACCAAATTTAGGGACCAAATTAAGAGTTCAAATGACATGACAACATATTATTTAGAATCTTTATTGGGGTTCAAATGACATGACACCAAATAAAGAAACTCAAATCAACTGTCAAGTCATTTGAGCTCTTGATTTGGTCTTAAAATTTGGTCAGTGTAGCATTATTCATCAAAATATGAGTTTATTTTACCATTTTACCCTTAGATATAACAAGTATTTTTCTATTACAAATAAACTTTTCAAAAAAATTTCCTTTCCGTAAGAGGGAAAAAAAAGGAAATAAAGTGGGCTGAAAAACCATAATATTTGAGGAAGTTTAAGAAAAATTATTATTAAAACAATTAATTAAGCAACCTCAATTCATTGCCATGTGGATAACATCAGCAAGAATAAATCTCAAATAGGTGGAGATGTGCCACCGGTTCAAAAAAAATAGTCGATACATACATTTTAAAATGCTCTACACACCTTTTAAGGGCATTGATGCAAAGACGGTAAATTAATAAATTAATTTATTCAACCAAAAGACTGTCTTTTTCTCTCCAATTTTCCGCCCAAAACTGGACGGATAAGAAATGGCGGGCGGGATTCATTTTCCACCATCTTTTCCTTTCCATTGCCTTTTCCATCGGAACCAAACAAATGAAATACTTTCCTCTCTCCCGATTTTTTATCATTCATTTTCCATCCACCCAATTTCTTTTGTACCAAACACATCATTATTAGGGTTGAAAAGTAAATATCGATTAAAAGAACATCACGTCACACAGTGTTGGGTCTGAGTGTGTATGTCATATAACTCGTGTCATGTTCACATTGGTTTTACTTATGAGTTATTTACGAAATGTGACTGATGAGCTAATCCATTTATCACCCGAATAATTGAAAAAGTATTAAATTAATTGGAATCCAAACTTAGTAAATCCGTGTTTGATTTCATGACAGTTAGGTGACCTATGTCCAAATTTGTCACATCATGTCTAAGTTTTGTGAGTGCTATTGTGTCCAAATTATCTCAATTCATACGTAATTCATTTGTTAAAACTAATGTTATCAGAATTGGATTGGTCGTCCATCTAATAAAGAGACCGAGTCAATGATTCACTGATTTAGCCGCTAGATCAATTGGTTGACCCAATTATATAATAAAAAAATATATAAAAATTATAGAACATAATATTTTACCTAAAAAATACAAAAACATAATATATATATATGTTCAAATGAAAATGTATTAAATGCATTTTTTAAGAAATTCAACCATACAAAAACAAGAGAGTGAAAGAATCGCCAGTGTGTGTGTAACAGAGAGAGAAAAAGAAGGGGGGAGGTGGTTACAGTTACACGCACTCAGGCAACAAAAGGAAGGAAGGAGGAGACTCAAAAGTTAGATTGCTGAGTGAGAGGAGACTCAGTCAGATCGACTGCTTGATTTAGAACAGAGCAGGAGCTGGTCTAATCGCCTAAGTTGTCCGTTGCCGCCTAAATTTTGTCGTTTGTTGTCATCTTTCGTCTTCTGGAGTTGGTCGCATGGGAGTGAAGATCGAAGGAAGTAGATGGAATGGAATCGAAGATTTAGGAAAAATTGCCAAAAAAAGGGGATTTTTTTTTTAATATTATTTGAAATCTGGTTTTAAAAAATCTTTCAATTTACCGGTTTGATAAAAAACTAGCCGATTTAACGATATTCTGCCGAGTCGGCTACTTATATGGTTTAACTTCAGAACCGAATCAACTTAAGTTTCAGTTCACGGTTAGACCGGTTCAGTTCTAATAACACTGATTGAAACTATAACTTTTGAATTCTTTATTTGGATTATATCAATCGGCACATCATTAAAATAACAAATTAAATCAAATTTAAAAGTCCAAAAAATACCCTTAAAACGTTTTCGTTTGAATAATTCTATTAGAACATAAAAATTTAATCTAATATACCGATATAGAGACGTGGGAGAGGTTGGGAATTCTACACACAATTCACAAACATGGTACGGAATCGATACAAAATTAATATTTTGCCACGGTGGATTTTTTTTTTTTTTTTTATCAGTAGCCATGGTGGTGGATTTGGGTGGTAACAGCCAAACACATAAAGTGAAGGGATTATCACAAATTCAAGTAAATCCGGCGACGCGAATTCTTCATTATACATGATTATAAATAAATTAATATAATTTAAGTAAATTTTGGAAGTGTCAATTCTGATTTGTTGATACACGAACTCAACATAAATAATTATAAAATTAACACGATTATTAAATACGTATAATAAATAATTTAAATTAATATTTAATATTTAAAACATATTAAACAGATTTTTTTTTTTTTTGAGTCTCGACACAAATACGACACAAATAAGAATAAGATGACAAGATAACTGCAGAAAATTATTGTCAAGAAATTAATTAATTTTTTAATTTCGAATCGTTGTTTTGGTTTTCTCTGGAAAAGTTTTGACATGATATGATAGGCAGTCGATTTGTAAGGAGGCCTGCATGGGAAGTGAGGGAGGGGCTATACATCGTGCTTTGCAGAAAACATGAGATGAGAAGATTCCATCAGAGGAGTAAGAATACTTACGTCAACGAAGTCATTCAGTAAGAAATCCGGCATGTATGGTCGCCGGAAAATCGACAGACCCATCAACGTCCGTAACTGAGCCGCCGTCCCCGGCAACATCAAGTCCTCAATCTTCTCCAAACCGGCCCTTTTCAACAATTCCTGATTATCCCCCCTCCTCAGACTGACGCCGGAACTCGAAATCACCACCTTTTCAACCCTCTCCGGCCACATCGCCGCCATGTGGTACGCCACAAAACCGCCATAGCTCGTTCCCACCACAAAAAACTTTTCCACACCCAGCTTTCCGAGCAATTTTCCCATCGAAACCGCCTGGAAAACCTCCGACCTCTCCGACGACTTGGTTGTGGAGTCCCCGAAAAAGACGAGGTCAGGAACATAGAGGTCGAATTCACGGGCAAAGAACACAATCTGTTGTCGCCATTGCCAAACACCGTGAGGTCCGAATCCATGAATTAGAACCATCGGAGGTTTAGAAATGGCGGAAGAATTGGATTTGGGTCCCCAAAAGTGGATGGTGGTTTCATCGTCGATGTCGATGGTTTGGGATGATAAGCCAGCGGAGGAGAGAGAATAGTGAAGGTAGCTTCCGTACAAGGAGACTACGCTGAGACAAGAAGCTACCATTGTTTCCGGCGGAGACGAACAATGGAGAAGAAAGTCAAATTACGAATCTCCGTGGATGGGCTGAGGCCATTAAAGGCCTGATAGATGGTTGGGTTTGAGCACGAGAATTATCGGATGACGACAATAAACAATATTTTTTAGCATCTCTTTCGGAGGCTATTGTAAAAGGTCCATCACTATAGTTAAATTACAAAAAGACCATTCATATTGTATTTTGGGTAATTCATAATTTAGCCCAATAAAAAAGATAGCAGTCCAAAATAAAAAATATAAAAAATACAGAGCAAGAATCTAAAAAATACCAACAGATAGAGAGAGGAATTGTCGTAATTGAGAGAACCAAACCTTCTAATTATTTTGCTCTACTTAGACACTTTTCTTATTAAGTCATGTGATATGGAGCAGAGATATTTTGTTTAGGTCGATGTATTCGTATTGAATATGATACTTGAAAAATATTTGAAGATACGTATCATATGTATCTAATAATTAATAAAATATATAGATATTTAAGTAAATACTTCTACATATAGAGCAAGATGTACATGTTTTAATTTTAATCTATAATATTTCCTTCCGAGGTTACATACAATACAAAAATATAAGTAAAATTTGATTTGACTTTGAGAGCATGAGTGTTTTTTTAAGTATTATCTACTATAACATGTAAAAATAGTATAAAAAAATGAGTTAATTACACTATAATTTTTAAAACAAATATCTGTAAGTAAATCAACTAGTTATATGTTAGTTATAATTCATTTAATTGTCCAAGTCCACTTTATGGATATATCATAATAAGACGATATTACTCATTTTTCAAAGTAAAAATTACTAATTTTGTTTACTATTGTTAAAGAATTATTAATAATTGTAATTTTTAAGTTGTTCAAATAATGATAAAATATATAATAAATTTTATTATAAACATATTCCAATTGTACTTGTATTTTTTTTAAGGTTTTTGTAACATCGTTGTGTGCGATAATTTTCGCACAATAAATAAAATAGAAACAAATATCTCATTTGATGAACTCGTGTTCGTCAAGGTGGTGGTGGATCCTGCAGCAAGGAGTGAGTCGAGAGGGCCAAAGGGGCCTAAGGAGTGGTAATGAATTGCTCTAGGGGCTGTCCAATCGGTTCCGATGGAGAAGAAGAAAGTATTGTATTGCTCTTGAGAGGTGAATTTGTGTCCCCCTGATTCATATTTTTTGAGAACTATTTATACCTCAAAAGGCTTTTCATTACTAATGACTTGACCAGTAGGTAATACCCAGACATATGACAGTGTGCCTCCTATCTTGCATAGGGGAGACCCCGTTAATAATTGCTTGGGCTCTCGAGCAGTTAATGCTCTTTCTTCGATGAAAAGACTTTAAATGTTCGGAATCCAAAGCATTTAATACCCTATATCCTCGGCTTCCTAAGCTACTGTGGATGTCTCATCACTGAGGATTCGTTAAATACTTGTGTGGGATAGCCGTAAATCAGCAGAGATATTTTCGTCCATTTACTCCTCATCCTGCACTCTGTGCCACGCGTCTGACTCTACTTGGTTGAGTGTCCAGTTCATTCTGCTGTTCTGACTTCATTATGTAGAGTGCCATCATAATTCCTAATCTAGTTTAGACTGCTCAGTTGTCAATCAGTAGCCTCTCCAGAAAGTAAGGACTCGTGACAAGATCAGGGTTTCAATGGGTACTCTCAGAGCCGAAGACACTTGGCTCCCTCGGAGTGGAGGTACCCTTGGAACCGAAGGCACATGTCTGTCATAGGGAGACAGAGTACCTCGATGCCAACTACAAGTACTTGTAGCAGATTAGTACACTTCTTTGGAGTCGAGGGCGCGAGTCATTCCTAGAGCAGGCGTGCCTTCGGTGTCGTGAACACGTGTCTTTATTGGAATAAAAGTGTCTCCCTCGGCACCGATGACACATGTTGCCATGTAATCCTTTTTTAGGAGTGTCCCATCAATCATCATATCAATATCGTATTGTATTTTTATCTCGTTTCCATATCTATATTCATGTTTCCTAAGTCACGTGAAACCATTTTGCCAAAATAAATTACCAAAACTCGAATAAAAGATTAAGAATTCGAGAAAAACATAAGTTTTTGCTTTTATTATTTATTATTTTTATTTTTTGAAATTTAAAGAACCAAATAGAAACTACACGTACACTTTGAGGATAAATATTATAAGGGTAATACACTACTATTACTGAGTCAGATTATAAATATGTGCTTTTACTTTGTTTGCCAGAACACCAGTGACAGTCTTCTTGTTTATCGACAACACAGATGTGATTATTGAAGAAGATTGAAATGGAGTAACTTGGTTGGCATAGACTTTGTAACTTTTTTTCTAAGAATTACGTGTGGACCGGCACAAATGAATGGTGCAGTATGGGTTGGTTGGTTTGTTTGGTTGCTTTGTGTGCTTGTGTTGATGATGGAAGATGTGGACTCACTGATACAACGTCTTCACCAAACCCTCTTTTCTGGATTTTAATTCTTCACACTTAATTGCGTGAAAGATATACGAGTGCAACAATGTCTTGGCATGACTGTCCCCTCTAATATTTTAAGAGTCCTGAATAAATTCTCACCTACCTAGTTTGCCCTCTAGCCTTAAGTTGCTAAAAAGTTTGTGCATGTTGGAGAGAGAGAGAGAGAGAGAGAGAGAGAGAGAGAGAGAGAGAGAGAGAGGGGGGTGTTGTGACTCACTGTCTTTATTAATTCAGAGAATACCCTCGTCCTCCTTGTTTTACTTTTACCAATGACTCATTGATTGAAAGACCTTCTTTCGTATTTCAGAAGCAAGATTAAAAAGTTCCATTGCCAAAAAACACACACAATCTCTCTATCTCGGGGCACCAAACAGCTGGTATCACGGTCCAGTAGCCCAGTTGGCAATGGGCCAGTTCAGCCCACAACTGGCAGTTCATTGTCACAGGTAATCGATTATTCTGGTGAGTAGTTTATGGGCTTTACTTTTGGTTTACCTGCATCCAACAAGTCGAGTTGGCGAGATGTCCTATGAGAATTAAAAAATAATTTTTTTAGTGGTCTGTCCTCTTTAAGCCATTGATTAGCCCTGAGATATGTATCGATGATATCATAAATTAATAAAGGCTAAACTCGGCCCACTACCTGGTTAAGGGGTTACCCTTAGTAAGGGTTCACGATATATTGCCAAAATTTGAATTTCACTCGAAATAGTTAAGGTCGAGGGAATGAGCTAACCTCTTAATTCTAAGTGGTCACCTCGGTTCAAACACTTCAGCTCAGATATCACAGATCAAATGTCCTAAGTTGGACCTCATATCTCAGACCCTCCAACTCAAGACTCCTAGTTCGGGAGGCGCAGATTGAGAATTATCACCAACGTGACCCTCGTATGCACTACAACAATGACAACTCACACCTTCTAGAGGGTCATGTCATATCTATGAAACAGTCAAATATTTTGTCACATGGATCATAACAACCCCAAATGGGTCACCTTGATTACGCAAGGATCGTGTTGGTTACAAGAGGATCACAGAAATTACGTAAGGTAACTATACATTATAAAGAGGGATCAAATCCCTCACATTGAGGGAGATCGAGCATCCATACATTGACACTACAATTCTGTAACCTCCGTCCCCAAGTAATAAAGAATTCTCCCAAGAACAAGAGACTCCATTAGAGTAGATTAGTCAAGCTTCTGAACTAGTGAACCACTTTGTATATTAAGTTCTATTCATAACTACTATCCCTAAATTGATTATTCAACTACCAAAAGTCAAGAAGCTTTGACTGGATATTTTAGTAATCCCCATAAATAGATCCATAAATTCATTTACCTCTACTCAACTGCGCAGAATACACCATCATGTATAATTATCATTATCATGAATTGGTTAATTTCATTGTTTTTGGATTTAAATGTGCTTGAATGATAGATTTGCAGGTTTTATGCCTAGTTTGCACTGTCTGGTTTTTTTTTTACGTAAAAAGACTAAAAGAGTAATATTGGAAGCAAGCACACGAAAAAGAGTGCAACCTATAGCAATTGGAATGATGAATTAGGCTTGGACAGAATATTTTGTGCGTCTAGATGCGGTTTGAGGATCTTTCGAATGAGGCTAAGGTATTGGAAAGTGATAATTGGTAGAGTTTCTTGCATCCGGATGGAGGAAATGAACATCCAGACACACCTGTAAGAAATTAATCATGCGTTCAGACGCGGGTTTTGGCCATCCTCATGTAACAACTTTTCAGCAGTCGCCTGATTGTTTAGTCGTACTAGGTTTAGACTTCCCTTAAGCTTCCTATATATACTTGTATTGTACCCTAATTTAAGGGATATGATTTTTTTAGTTTTCCTTCTTTTTGATGGGTTTTGATATCTATGGATTGATAAATCCTAAAGTAAAGGTAGGGTGATACTTTCAAGAAAGTACGGTATTTATATCTCTGATTCGTTATTTTTCTTTAATGCATGAACATTTTTGTTAATTGATTTGAATGTTTTAGTAAAATTTTTCCTATGTGAACTTTCTTAATTCGTTGTATCATGTACATCAAATGATTTCGATTCTCAACGAGATAAATAATTAGTTGTGCATTGAATGCTTTTGCTATGCTTTGTTAGTGTTAAATTTTTAACGTTGATGTGTTGTAGCATTAGGTACGACCTTCCTACTAATTTTATTTTGAGTGCGTGTAATTATTGTGAAGAAAATATTTAAACGTTTCACGTGAATTCTCGTAAATTTAAAAAATTTTGTTGAGAAATTAAAATTAGTTTCCATTTGAACTCAACTTAAATATTCATAAAATTCAATCGAATTTAAGTTTGGTCCCACCCCACAAATATCTATTCCCGCTACTATTTAATTTTTTATTATCAAACTACTAAGTTCACCTCTTCTATACCTACCTCATTAGTAACTAAGTCTACCCAATGGTACATACACCCTATTTAATAAGTAAACTCATCTTATATTTTTTCATAATTAGGATTTCATTTCATGTGCTCACAAAAATACTTTTTTTAATATAAATTTTTCTAATGAGATACAAATTAGTATTACTTCTCAATTTAATTCTATGTTTGATTTC